ACTAGTTAGTTAAGAACTCAATGGATGTTTAAATAAACAAAGAAATTATGTTTTCGTCTTTATTGTTACTTTTACATTCTGCTTGGCGAACTATTCTATAAATCAATATTACATTCAAGGTTGAGTTTCATAATTATCAGCCAGCGTATGACCTATACCCTCCTGTGAGGTATTGCTTAAATAAAGACTTAGTGATTAAAAGTATTACGCACTGTCACAAAGAGTCTGTCTTAAAGTGCTCGGGATAAATAGAATACATTCAGTCATGTTTACTCTTTTCTAATTCAAGGCTTTTCTTCCTGTGAAAAAATATTCAGATCGTCTGAAACATTCTGGGGGTTGACTTGTTTGAAAAACAAAACAGGTTTAGTCTGTTCCAGTGATATTTAGCATTTTTCCATGCTCAGTTCACAGCATGTGTGCAGAGCTTGTTTTTCTCCGAATATTTGTGTGTTTTTAACTCACATGCTAACAGCTATGCAGAGTGTAAAGTGAGCACTCTAAGCATATCTTCAGGGTTAATTGTATCATAAATTCACGAGCCGCTAAAAGACAGGCATGGTTGGAATTCACAGTTAAGCCTTCCCTTTCTCACGGGGACAATTTGGCATTGAGTGTGTCTACAATTCTTCAATTGATTGAGCAGTGTGTGTGTGTGTGTCCTTGTTTGTCTGATATGTCACTATTAATAAACTGTAAAATACAATATTACCTGTCGGGATAAATGGAGAAACACTGGGAAGTTGAAGACAATTTTGAGGTTAATATTTACCCAGTACTTTAAATTGAATCAGTATTAATCAGGGACATTCACAAATCTAGAGCACTCAGTATAACATGCGTTTATTAATGTAGCGATGGGGAAAAAAAGTGTGACTGAGTGACACAGAGTGAAGGGCATGTCCAGGCCTGTGGAAACCACTCCACAAGTTCTCCCCCCGTGAGAAGTTCTCCGTTCCCAGGACCCGATGTGTACGTTTGGGGGGCAATAACTCACCAGGTCTCTTGACTTCCTCTTTCGGCCTTCTGCGTTTTATGACCCTCTCCTCTGCCGTACAGCTGCTGTCTCCTCCGCAGCTTCCTTTCACTCTGATTGGATTAGACGGGAAGAAGATGAAGTGAAAGAGACAGGGAAGCAGGTGGGAAGTTTATTTGATATGGGATGGAGAGGTTTTTTTTTTTATCATGGCAATTACTGGGTGACTTGGATGAAACAACTAGCCTTGTTGATGTCCACATCTCACTGTGCTTTACCAGTGGGAAACAAGAAGTCAGATAATCCCATATTGTTTACATATGTTTCTATTTGAACAGATTCAAAAACGAGATGTGGGACTGAGAAGTCAAGAAAAAACACTTACATTTTTTTAACCAAACTTTCAGTCCTAAACAAAAGCAAACCATTGTTATAACTCCAATAACTTTGGTAAATGTTATAAGTTATAAGAGCTTTCATAGTATAAATATGCCCAAGTCAACCCACCTCTGATCAAAACCATTTTCAACCAAATAATTTGTCTCTAAATGTTTGCACTTCTTTTTTTGTTGTTGATTTTTTCTGCCAATGGTGTTTGTTGAAATAAATGTAAAAAGTCCCTTTGTGTACCTATATATCTTGTGCCAGTGTATTTTGAGAACCACCTTCTATCACAGGCTTAGATACATATAATAAAATAATCAATATACCGTAACTAAATAATCAGGTAATTTAGCCAATTGCAAATTGATAGAAACCACAATAACAAGGTCTATATAATAGTAATGGCAATGCAAGTCTTTCATTCCAGACTGAAATATCTTAACGTCTTCAAAATATAGTTCTGTAAAGTTCTGTATAAAAATCACAAAGGGTCTATCTTTAGAGGATGAATCCTTATAGGTCTTTTGATACAAAGCAGCTGTAGTGCCACAGGGATCTGTTAGCATGCTTGTAGACTCCCTTGTTCCATGTTTAAATAAAGGGAAATGATCTAAATTCACTTCTATAATGCACTATTACTCACAAACATGTTACTATTTGTTGCACACTTGAAGTGGTTTTTCATTAAATACAGAAAACTAGGACGGGGCCTGACTGACCTGATCACAGTGATCTAAACTAGAACAGTTCAAACACAGTGGTTTTTGGTAGGTTGGTTCATATGTCTGAGGGTGTCTGAGTTTCTTTCTTTTTGTCACATCCTGTCTAAGAATGAGCTCGACTTGTCAGAGAGCAGAGGGACAGACCCTTTTTAACAAGGCTTTAGAGGGACCTCCCATTGATTTCATAGTATCAGCACACCGGGCAATCATCAATGAAATTTCATGTCATCTCGTAGGATGTTGTAACTTTGCCACACACACGACGGAAAGTCCCAGCCTGGGCGTGAATTTGCACAATGGACTGTTCCAGTGACTTTGAGACAAAGTGGCTGAAGGTTGGGGTCAAGGTCGCGTTTTGTATTTTTTAAATGTCCTGTTTCTTTAAGATCACACAGGACTCAGGAGACGTCAAGTGTGGGTGGACGGTCTTGTGGTTTTGTGTGCGTCTGTGTCTATGACAGGAAATCTAATCAAGATTGGGTAACATGAGTTGGCAACAGAGCACACAGCAGGTTTTGTTCTTGAAAACGGATAAATGTGTGGAAGCCTCAGAGACCCTTTTACACATTTTCTGTTTGTGACAAAGTGTGTATGTGTGTGTGTGTGTGTGTGTGTGTGTGTGTGTGTGTGTGTGTGTGTGTGTGTGTGTGTTTAAATCAGGCTATGTGTGTTTAGTACATGCGTCGTATTCCTGACCCCTGATCACACAAAGTATTTTAATCCAATCAGCTTCGTTTTCACATGACTGTCACACACTTGCTGCTGCTATGGTAACCTAGGGATAGAGAGAGGTTCCGAGTGAGAGAGGGGTATATTGTCCTATCTTTAATCACTGTGACATTTACACACACAATCACACCCGAGGATTTTGTTCTTTGTCTGCGCATTACTCAGGTTTCTCTTCCTTGTTTCTGACTTAGAGAAAATACAAACCCTGACTTTCATAGGAACTCTGATTTCCCTTGATGAAAAAGTGAGGTTTTAATGTTCAGTGAAGGCAGACAAAGGTGCAAATTACAAAAAACAAGTACAATTTATCCAAAGATTATTCAGTATTAGTCATTTATGATTTCTATGTCATTTAGTATGAATGAAAGTGACAGATAATAGACACAATAGATAAGGCTGCAAGGTCACAGCTTAAACATGCAACTTAAAAAGAGGAAGGTTTGCAAAAAAGCATCTCAGGATAGTGACTAAGATAAGCGTCACTAAAGAGACAACTTTCATCACATCTTAGGCCAAACTTTCAAATACCCACTTCCCCTGAGAGGTGAAAAGGTTAGTCTGTGCCCTGTGGTTTACTTTTGGCACGCTACCCTCCGCTGCTTCTCATTTTTTCGCTGACATTTCCTGTTCTACCTAAAGTAGAAGAATCACACTGCTGCTGCAAAACAAATTGTTTTTGCATTAAACATGCAACCGAAGGAGCTGCTTTCTGTTTTTAATCTCTCATTCCGATGGATGCTGCAGCCTGTAATTGTTTTAACCGTCTTTTACAACAAACCTATGATTTGGAGTTCAGCTAAAAGCAGGACACAGTCAGTAACATGAGTTGCAAGTCTTTGGAGTTTGGAGTAACTTTCTGTGCAACAGTGAGATAAGTACTCCACCTTCTGGCCAAGAGTGGTACCTGCAACACCACGAAAAAGCAAAGGTAAAAAAGGTCAAAGTATTTCTGGAAAATTGGTTCTCTTACAGCTGTTAGGATAACTTAAATAGAGGTGCCAGTTTAGCTCAGTTGTAGAGCAGGTGCCACATGTGCAGAAGTTGGTTCAACTCTCTATCTAAATCATTTGGGGCATCTCATCCAACACTCTCTCACCCACGTTTCCCCTCTCTCTCTTCGGCTTTATAATAAAGGAGAAAGGCCAAAATAAATTAGACTGGGTAGGGCTGGCAAATAAAATGAGTTTCAATTGTATTTACAATTTTGGTTTCCCGCGATCATGAAAACAAGATCATGGAGATTAAACGATAAATGGGCTGAATGACTTGTTTCGTGTACTGAATGTTTCAAAGTGTTTGTTGTTATATTTTAGCCAAAAGAGTACATCACTACTGCACAAAAAACATAGTGTATTCATTTATATTTATTATTATTATTATTATTGTTATATTAATTGTATATATTTATATTTTTTCACTTGTGTATTTATGAATTGCTTGTTTTTCAAACTGTGGAAGTGTTCAGAGTGTTACATTTAATCAATGCCTGTGATCCAGATGTTGTGAAATCAATGAGTCATCATGTTTAATAACTGTAAACTCAATATCAATCAAAATAATCGTGATTATGATTTTTGCCATCGAGCAAAACCTCCTCACCGACCTTGTTTAATATTAGAACAAGAAACATTGAATAAACTTATTCTGACTAACAATGGAGGATTTCCTCCAAACTTTATAACAAAAGCATATCAACCAATCAATCCATGTCCAAAAATATCTGGGCTGAGTTTTTCAAAGAGTTAAATATAGAAAAGAATGATCACCACTTCTTTCTTATCCAGGATCAGTCTTTCATTTTTACTTAATTCCCCTTTAGGGTTCAAATGGATCCAGATAGACTTTTGAGATTAATTAAAATTAAGAGTGATCTAATATCTAATAAAAATCATCTCTAAATAGGACGTTATGCTCCATAGTCTATAGGGGGCTCCAACTTCCAAACAAATTAAAAGTTCACAGCTGCTTTTAAATTCAAAAGCAACTACTACTCGTATTTTTGATCAACATATTATTCAATGTTTATTAAACATTAGTATTATTAATCTGATTTTAACTTTTTTGAACCACCAGATTTCAAGGTTTGTCAAAATCCTGTTGGTCCCCTCTTCTTGTAATACTTGCACTGTATATTACAACTATACCTGGTAATCGTCGGTCTAACTGAAGGTGCTCTGACAGAAAGGAGGTTTGTTGTGTGCAAATGATTTTATTCATAGCAGACAGAACAGAAACAGAGAAAGTGTCCTTTGAACACACCTCTTACTCTCAGCCTGGAAACAATTTTAAACGGAGTCTACACGTAAACCTTATACAAAATAAAAGGACCCAACCAGACACAAGTTTGTCTTTACAATGTGTGTGTTTTTTGACAGAGAGATGCTGATCCACACAGTCACAATGCAAGAGGAACAGAATAGGAGAGTTGGGGGTTAATTTATAGGGACAGCTGGAAGATTATTGAGCTGCTTTATTGAGCTGGGTGGAAGAGTTGAATGTTGGATTTTAATCTTAAAAAAAAAAAAAAGAAAAAGAAAAGCCATCCCACTTATGACATCATGCCTTCTTTTGGCTCATCCTTTAGACGCAAAAGTCTACAATAAGAATAATTTAATCAATTAATCTTTATCATTCCTATTGATGAACACTTTCATTGTATTTTTTTATTGATGCATTGGTTCTATGAGCTCATAAAATTAAACAGTGCCAGGATTGTTGTTCTCTGCCTTTTCAAACAATAATTTAACGGTTCACCGTCTTAACTAAATTTAGGATTAGTGAGAAATTAATCCCCCTTAAAAGAAAATCTCTCAGAGGTGGATTTATAAATAATTTTCCTCCCTAGATATCCAAAAGAAGCAGTATTTACCCATCTCACACAAAGAAACAGTCCCCTCCTCTTTCCCAAATCAATTAAAATAGCAAGTTGAAATACATATATTTAAAAAAGAAAGTCTACTTAACGTTATTTATTTGGTTGTTGAGCCTTTTAACCTGCTTTAGTTTTAATGTAAGTTTTTTATTAACTGTTGAACTTATGTCCAGGCCCAACAAGTGCTTCCTGTAATGATTCTAATGTTTATGAGTGCATGATACATACAGATGTGCTCAGGATAAATAACATGATGTTTTTTGTTTCTCTTTCTTGTATGATCAGACTTCTATACAAGATGAAATCAGTCTGGTTACAGTACAGTACAACTTTGGAAAGTCACCAAAACAGAAATGTCTTTTTCTCTTCATTTTGCCTCCGAACTTCAAAACCAATCATTAAAAATTGACCTCAAGAACAAAGCAAACAATCCACACACACACACACACTCACTCATTCCTTTTAATCTATCCCTTGGACCAACGATGACCGCATTTGTGTATATGTGTTAATAATAGAACTATGTATTATGACATCATTTATATTCAGATCAGACATCCATGGACAGGCAAGGACAAAACGAGCGGTCGGCAAAGTCTCATTCAGAGCAGGGATCCTGTGTTTTAGTCAAAAGTGGCAGCTTTTTCTTAATGTCTGCAGGCTCGTTTTTCACTTCAATACCTCCTTCTTTTCCTTTGCTTTCTTTCTTTCAGAGCCACCAGAAGCGGACATAGACAATGAGCATGATGAAAAAGACACCACCGGCTGCCAGCTTGGCATAGGTGGAGCGAGTGTTGAGATACTTGGCGTCGCTCCGGTATTTCTTCGACAGGCTGGACAGGTTGCTGGCCTTGGAGTCGAGCGCTGCAAGGAGGAGAAACCGGAGGAAAGAGAAAAGTCCATAACAAGAATTTAAAAAAAAAATCAGGGGCAAAAGGAGCGTGGGGAAAAAAAAAAAAAGAGTAGGATGACATAAAGAGAAGAACAAAATCAGTTCTATTCCTATGTTTGCCTTCCAACTCTGGGGATTCAAAGTAGATCTCGAGGAAACAACCGGACAATACTCGTTATCACAGGAAAACAGAGTAATTAAAATGTATGGACACATGCTTCCATAGATAACCTACCAGAGAGCGCCTCTCCCCTCTGCAGCACCTCCTCTATGTTTGCCACCATGATCCTCTGGACGTCCTGGAGCTCTGTATTGATGCTGCCCAGATTCCTCCGTGCTCGACTGTCGATGTACGATTTCTTGGTTTTTTGGATGTAGGTGTCTGGGGAGAGAGCAATGCAAATAAATGAATTAATGGAAACTTGTGGATGATTTAACCTGCCAAATTTAAATGACCTTTGTCATCTATTATTCCACAGTCCTGGTAGACAATTTCTGTTCTCTCAATGGAGACAAAATAAACTAAAATTGAAGATCTACTTGATGCATTTGAGCATTTAAAAAGAGCACTTCTTCCTCCCCCTTCTCAACATTGTTTTTCAAGGCACAGTGAGATAGTAGGTGATGCAGAACTCACCTGAAATGCAAAAAAAAAAAAGAAATTCAAAAGTAAAAAAAATGCAAACTTTTCACAAAGTTGCATGAGGCTCTCCTGTGATTTGCCTCGTATGGACAAACTAAGCGGTATGTCTTCTGTCCTTGTGGATTTTGGCCAGTACATGTTTAAGTAGTGTTGTTTGACATAAAATCTCACCCTGCTTTTTTTCCAACAGCCAAACAGATCACGCCTTATGATTTTTTGATGTTTGAAAATTAAAGAGGCTATTTCTGTTGCATTTGTCACTTTATCTGACACCTACCCTGTGGCAGTGGTTTCAGGCATCAAAAATAACTACTGTATATAGATCTGATCAACCTTGTCGCTGATGGTCTTGTTTGCTTTTGTAGGTCATTTAGAGGCTTCAATATTTATTTTATTTTGTTTCATACTCAGCTAAAAACTCCTCACAGCAGCTTTAATAGTTTCTCTATGAAATGCCATACTCTATTATGTCATTGATAATCGACATCATTAAGCAAATCCCATTCAAATACACTGGACAGACCTCCATTCAATACAGTTTTTGTTTACAATGTCATTATTAATCAAATCTGTACACTATCCATGTCCTTCAATAATTCTGATGAACTCAGTATTAGTATTAGGTTTAAGTTTCAGGAGAAAGAAAGTCAGATGAGTGGATTCCTAAAATGAGTTGTTTTCCTTATTGTCAGGAGTCATTACAAAACATGCTCATAAACATATTATGAATAAATATTGCAGGACTACTCCTACAGCCACAAATTTAAAATCTTATTCAGTTGACTCCTTCTCTCAGTCAGAGATAAATAAATTCACATTAAAAAAACTCCATTTGGGGAGTTGCTGAAGCGGAACAGTTTCCTTCGACTTTGCTAGGTTTGTATTTAACTTCAGCGACATGACCAGAAGTGCAACATAAACTTAAACAGGAAATCAAGCAGTGTCTTTGTTGTTCCTGCCTTTCGGGTTTTCTCACCAAATTCAATGAAGGAGTAAGGCCGGGACACTGTGGGCACCTTCTTTCCATGCTGCTCATGAAACTCGCCTGCAGGTCTTCAAGGTAAGCAAAGGCCAGCTTCTTTGGAAAGCTGGCTTCACACAGCACAAGGTAGCACACTCCTTTCTCTATGAAATAGCTGCAAGTTGAACAGTCAAATGTGAGAAATGAAACATGAGGCTGGTATGAGCATTTCAAGGGTGCAGGCTCAAGTTAAAAGGAGATTAATTGTGTTTTTTTTTTTTTTTCAAAGCGTCTCTGTTGTGTAATCACTTACACTCTGCACACCCTACTGGACAAACAGCGGAGCAGCTTCTCCAACAGACTGATACAACTCCGCTGTCACAAGGACCGATACAAGAAATCTTTCTTACCGAAAGCCATAACTCTGTACAACAGCTCACCTCATACGAGCAGAGAACTGTCATCATGATAATATCTGTCTCTCCATACTGTAATCTGTTCTGCACATGTTAAATTTACAAATTATCCCTGCACTTATGTTCACTTCATTTGGCTGTCTACTCGCCGTTATATTGTATAGTTTCTGCTTATAATATGTCTACACTCATGCACTTTAACTTATGTCAATACTGTCCATTTACTACTCTGTTTTTGCACATTTACCTTTAATCTTTCATATTTAATTTACGGCTCTGTTTTTGCACATTTACATTTAATCTTTCATATTTAATTTACTAATCATCTACGGCTCTGTTTTTGCACATGTACATTCAATCTTCATTATTAATCTTCATATTTAAGACTAGTAATGCTTAGTTAAATCCTGGTTGTATATATTCACATTCTTATTTTTGATATCTTTTAGTACTTATTTACTTTGTAGTTAATATTATATTGTGTTTAGATTTGCTAACATTGTGTTTTTTACTCATATTGTGTGTTGGATAACCTGCTGCTGCAATGCACAATTTCCCAGTTTGGGATCAATAAAGTAATTCTATTCTATTCTATTCTATTAAAAACAGACATTGATCAGTAAAAGTGTTGACATTGTTTTCTTGGTGAAATTCTTGAGTAATTCATTTCTTTAACTGGACTCGTTTCATACTCACTGAAATGCCATGGAACCAGCCTCTAAAGTGCAGCGTGTTGGACTCTGATCATTGAGTTTCCTGAAGAGCTGCTTTGCTTGACTCTGATACTGCTGAAGGTCCCGACCCAGCTAAAACACACACACACACCCACACAAAAAAACAGTCAGTTACCATGAATTTCTCTCACTTCTGTTACAAAACAATATACTTTCTAAACTTGGGGCAGGTGATTTACTTGTGTGTGCTACATTCAAAGGGAGCTCAGAAGCAAAGTTCAATGTCTAACCTCCAATAAGGTGACAAATAAATAAAATAAAGATGTATGGGAATTTGTTCATGAGTTTGACAAAACAGACAAAAACAGAAACTGCCTACAGTCCAAATTGTTTTCTATTTGGTTGTTGGTGATCTTTTCTGGCACAGAATGTGTGCAGAAAATAACTAGCTGGCATAAGCACACACAGAGACTCTCAGACTGGATCTGAGACTGCATGCCATGTTTTAAAACAACAACAACAACAACAACAACAGAAAAGTGTTTATGACAGCATTTGGCTGACGGATGGGATTTGTCTCTTCATTTGCTTGATGATGACTCTAGCGAATGGTTCTTTACAGCAACACTGTAGCATCACACACACATGTAAGATGTTGAAGCACACAACAGAGACTCAACAAACCTTTTCACTTCCCTTTGTGTGAGCAAATGAGAGAGTGAGGGAAAGATGTTAGAATTAGAGCAACTTCACATCTTAAAATGCCATCCATTTGAATATGTTGCACATGTTGAGGTTGTGTTTGTGTCACAGGTTGCAATAGAACATTTTATTAAGAAGTAAACAGTCTTTCTAAAGTCAGCATCAGAGGAAACATACTGACATTTTGGATGTGTGAATTAATCAATCAAATGTGACTGCTAAGCCATGTTACAGGCAGTTAGTTGTCTCATGAACAAGCCTTACATTGGACCAGTCACAGAAATACAACAATAAATAATTTGTCCCGATAGGCCTAGAGTCAGCACTATTATGTGACCGTTCAAAAAGAGATACTGGACTTTTAAGCCAGTCATCAACTTCCCAGTTGCTCTAGAACCAGTGACGTTGCAGTTTTAGTACAGTATGCACAGAAACTCTTGGCCAGTAAGGAATGTTTAAGAGAAAAAAAAAACGATATAATACCTTTATATTTAAAGACTTTTTTTAACACCAAAAGAAATTATAAACAAACTTTTATTGCAAAAATCCCAGACACTTGGTTATTCAAACATTCCAAGCAAACTATTATCTGAAAATCATGTGCCAGCGCCTCCTGGTGGATAAAGTAAGTAATGGGACATATCATTTAAAGCTCCTGTGAGGAACTTTAAGATTGTGTCGATTTTGGCGCCCCCTGTGGACAAAGCAGTTTGTCCTATGTCTACGGATTCTGTTTAATCCGGGATAAGTTGTTTTTTTGTTTTTAAACAAAATTCACATCTTGCTTACTTTTAACGGTAAGTTCATTGCTCATCAAGAATCTGTACAGTGGAAAATGTTACAAAAAGAGGGGGATTCACAGCATGCAGCTTTAACGCCTAGCTCTCACCCTCCAGCGGTTTTAGGCATTCGACAATTAATATGTAGAAATAATCAATATTGTGGCTGACAGTCTGAGGGTCATATAAAGACATCAGTGTTCATTTCTGTTTTGTGCCATAACCAGACAAAAAACCCTTATAATGTAGCTTTAAGGCTTGTTATTTTGTATACAAACACGGAGAAGCAGTGTTCAGTTTCTATGCTCCTTACATCTTGGAACAAACTCCCAGAAAAAACTGCAGCTGTGCTGAAACTCTCTCGGCTCTTTGAAATCCAGGTTGAAGACACACCTGTTTACAGCTGCATTTCATTAAACAATTTTAATAAGATTTTAAATTTTAACTCTGCACTGTAACTTTTAACTCTTTTTATATTTTTTTACTTTATTTATTTCAATTAATTTAATTTGAATTAATTATTTTTATTTGAACATATTTTCAGATTTAATAATTCCAGTGATTTATTTGTTTTATTATTATTATTTTTTTTGTTATATTTGAATGTTTCTTTTCTTTCCTCTGTCATGATGCTTTTGATGTCTTGTGTGAAGCACTTTGAATTGCCTTGTTGTTGAAATGTGCGACATAAATAATTTTGCCTTGCCTTACAACAGTCCTTGCAACAGACTTGTGCGCCAACATACATGTATCCAGATGATTTATATGATAACTATAAAAATGTATGTAATTCCGGTAACAAATAGTTGAATTTGATACACGATGTCAGACAATACATGCACGTCTTCATGTGACAAAGACCAATGTTAGGCTTATTAAAAAGCAGCAGGCTACCTTCAGGAAGCCTGGTCTGCACTTCTGAAGAATTAGTCAGAAACTGAACATTACGCTGCCCCCCTGAGTTCATGTAGACAGGCCTACAAGTAGTTTGAGCTAACGTGTCAGTATGTCATTTGATCATCTCAGAGGTAATGCACAGGTGATGACAGCAAACACACAGCTAGCAACCACAAAGAAAAAGATAGCTTAAATGTTAACCTGCTCGTCCTCCTGCATCGAGGCGGCTAAAGGCAGGCCGTCAGCCAGCCGCGCGATCATCGTCAGCAGCACCATCTCTCCGCAGTGCCCGGGGTGTTTCTCCGCCGCCCTCTGAACCGTGCAGGTAACTGGGACCAGAGTTTGACAGGCTCTAAAGTGACAACACCACAGGGCTGATGCGCTGAGCTGGCCGGAAACGCAAGAGCTTTGGGTGTCACGGCTAAATAATTCCGTCCTCCCATTGGGTCAAAGAAAAGAAATGTTCCGCAAGACGTAGACTTGAATGTTCACCTCGAATTTAATCTTCAGTGCATTAATGAACTAATTTTTGTTTCATTGGGAATTTTCACGTATATGTATAGGTCTATTATTGTTGTTATTGGTGTAATGTTATTGCAAAGTGTTTTTTAACACTAACTATTTAACAAAAAAAGTTTCATATCAGGACAAGATGCCGTTTTAATTGACATTTTGTAGACCTTTACCGCTGTTTCTGCTTGTGTTGAGTCATTAAAGACGCCATCTCTATATTTTTCATCTCATTATTGCGCAGAATGATGTCATTCTTGCTCCACACATTTTCTGATCATCTTTCCCCCCTGTAGCAAAGATCAAAATGACTCAGGTTATTGATTCGCTGTAGGCGCAGATTTAAGCAGCAGGGGTCAGCCATGTTCACTTTTAGTCTTAGCATCTATGACACCTTCATCACATGCTGTTATCCAGTAACTATCCGACTGGGTTTCTGTAAAGTTATTTATCCTAAAAATCCTTTTTATTAACTGCAAATGGCTCTACAGAATTACCTACATCAAAACATGACAATGTTTTTCCATGTTACACTGGGACAGAACAACACAAAGCCCTGTGAGTATCCAGCCTAACAAGCATTAGAATTGTAGTGTGACAACCACTTACTAAATCCATGCATATGTAAACACTTAAGAAATACACAACTTACACACATTCATAACTAAGAGACAACATATTCACGAGGCCTATCATTTAATAACATAGTGTGAGGCTCCTCCTCCTAACTCCATACAGACTTCCACAATGGTTTACCAGACCTCTCACAACCTCTCAGTCTTGTGACTCCAAAAGAGTCTGGCGGCGTGTCCATAGGGAGTCGCTGTCACAGGCTGCAGTCTGAAGGCGTGACACAGCAGACCGCCACTGAATGAACCCTGATGTGTGCCACACAGAAAGTCTGCTGTCCGCCTAAAATGTTATGGTAGCAAGACAAGGCCCGAGCTATGATGAGTAGATCAAATATGCCAAGTATATATATAATAGAACCAGCCATCTTTAGCATGGTTAGATGTTTTAGTTAAAATCACATATACTGCATACTTCAAGGCTAGAAAGCTTAGAGGTGTGCCCAAAAGATAGACTAAATATCAAAAGAGATTTTTAGTAAGTTTGAAATAATACAAACTAGGGATGGGAATCGTAGGATAACTCATGATACAATACGATTTGATATGGTACATTACTTTACTGTATACTATAATATCGTATCTTAATATGATGTGACAATAAACCAAAAAAAGACACAAACAAAAATCAGTTTGAACAAACAAATGGATCAGCACATTTATTTGTGAGAATTAGAAATTAATCTTTTTAAAAAATCTGAGATTATAAAAACACAATTCAAAGATTATCTTAATACACATATTTCCCTTTATGGGTGACATTTATAAAGTCTATATTGAATATAATTGAATGAATTTTCACTTAAAAGAAGTCTGCATCCTATTTGAAAGTGTTCTGTGCTCCCTTGTAACAATTTGGGTGTATTATCCAAACACCTTTTTTATTGGAGTGTCAGTAACTTGTGTTCATCAAACAGTGATCAATGCCTCCTCTGTCTCTCTGTCTATGTTATCCTCACTCTGATTGAATCAGTTTAAAGGTCCAACCTTTCCCAAAACAGCCTTTTATTTCCCAATTGGAACAGTTGACATTTAACAAACCAGAACAATAAAATCAACTAGGAAGTTAGAGATTTAACTCCTTTTTTCAAGTAGTTCACTGTGATCGTTTCTATGAATGTTATTTTCTATGACTAACCAAACAGGGCTTGGAGACTTAAATTGAGTAAATTATATTTAGTAGTGTTTGTAAATACAACAGGTTTATAATACTGCCTTTTTGTGAAAGTGTATGCCACCTTTTGTGAAGCAATGTGTGATTCACACACATCACACAATGAAGTCTTAATAAAAACGATTAACACATTAAAATACTCTTATCTGGTGTGTCTTCAGTACGAGGAGTAGTGACTCAGTAAAATGTTGTCACTCAAAAAATTTCCCATTAAAAAAGTATCAAATCAAGAACACATAGCCTTGAGAGGCAGTTCCAGATTATCTCAGATTTAAAGTATAACATTGCCAAAAGATTATTTAGCAATGATTTTTGCACTAAGTGTTCAGTTCAGATTGATCTCGCTCAGGAAAGATACTTTGAAATTTGTGTGCGATGGACAGAGCGTCTGCAGGAGGACATGGCTTCACAGGTAGACGAGGAGGACCCAGAGACAAGCCTGACAGCTGGATCATCAGCTGCTTGTTCACTCCCAGATCGAAACCTGCAAATGACAAATTCACCTTATTTACAAGACGGCCACTTCGCCCTTGACATCCTACTCAGAGTGGGAAGCTGTACCAGCTAAGTGTAACAGGTTGATATAGAAAGCTTAAGAAACTCACCAAACATAGGCATATCGCTATGTTCTAAGTTGTAGCCTGAGTCCTATAAACGTAGAGAATTATAGGCTACACATTATCTTTAGACTGCGTGTCAATTGAATATCTGGTGAATATCTGACCATATGTCATGTAAAATAACAAACATATTGAAGTCTTAGCTAAGGTCTGAGTTAGCATTGGATAACAGCTAATTTGCATTCTGCCCCGGCCACCTAATTTAACTGTTGACTAGAAAGTGGATGAATGTCAATATTACTTTTGGAATGGGTTGTACAACAAGACAAGAAGGGTGTAAATTCCTTTGTAACGGTTAGCAAGGAAGAGGTAAAATGCTTACCAACGCTGTTACCTGATGATAGCTTAAGAGCTAAAATAACTTTACAGTGGCTAATGGGTAATTCAACATGTTTGTTTACTTTTGAAATATAGCCCCATGACACGTTCCCCTGACACCTCACTCAGAGTGGGAGCTGGATTTCCTTTACAATGCTATACAGCTGTGATCCATTGTTAAAGGAATCATGCTAATTATTAATATCGCTGCATTATTACATTAATTTAATTGTTATAGCAAATGAAATACATTAAAAAGAGAATTGCTGGATGGACATCTGGCCATATTTCAAGTAAAAAAAACCCTGCAATGATAGGAAAGGCATACATGTACAGTATGTGTAATGGTAAGAAAGGAAGTGGTAAAATGCCACCATGGTGTTTGCTGGTGATTGCCACTCAGCTACCCTTAACATTAACTGTGGTCCAATGGGACCTTGTGGGTTATTAAAAATATCTTTGTGGTTGGAAATATAGCCCAGTGTCTCTTCAGAATCCAATAAAGAAGTAATGAAATAATTGCTTTTGTCAGATATCCTTAATTTATACGGTAGTAAATGATTATATCTGCATTAGAGACTCCTACCCTGAGTGTGATGTCAGAGAAATATGGCCACTGTGTGTCAACGATAGAGAAAAGACTGGTATAATAGAAGAGCATCGATAAATCTACATAGTTGGGTAGAATAAATCACAACACAGCAATTACTTACCAAATTTACTGGCATATTTCAGAAGATCCTGCAGCTTGAACTGCTCGTGGAAATCATACAAAGATGTCAGTCAACAAAATTGTCAGAAAATATCAAAGCTTGGAAATTAGAAAGTAGAAAAACAGCACCTGTATTGTCCTTGCTTCTACAAGATCACCTTTCTCAAATGCAGATACAAGCTTGTTGATATGAGATCCTAGGTAGTTATAAGTGCTGAAATAAAAAAAAAAGGAATTTAACTGTTGAGGACAGAGAATGAAAAGAGAAAAAGGATCACACACTGACCTGCCAACTGCTCCCTGAGCTCCCATCACCAGGGCTGATAGCAGTTGCTGTGAAAAAAAGACAGAGCGCTGTTTAAGGTTTTCAAGCGGGGTCACACAACATCATTTTGCAAATAAGCACAAATTTAATGGACCAAAGCAGATCGAGAGGACGAAAATGCTGACCTCATCCACGCCGTAAAATATTGTCCAGTTAGGCGGACTGTAGCTAACACAAAGGCCGAAGTCCATCAGGTCAGTCCCGCTGAACTTCACACCTCTGAAGGAGGGGATGACATTCTGAATATCTTCCAACAGATCTCTCACAGGCACTGTCAAAAAAAAAAAAACCCACAACATCTCAGACAGGATAATATGGTCTGGTATTTTACATTAATAAACTCTCGCTGTTTATCGATCAATGTATGTTAAATGACACTAACCATTTACACCAGTGAGACTTGGGATGTGATAATAATAGAAAGGCAGAGTTGGGGCAGCTGAAGCCACTTCCTTCAGGAACATCCTCAACACATCTGAGGCAGGATGAGAGAGAGAGAGAAATGTATAGTTTAAGAATTTACGTTTGGTTTTGCTTAATAATCAAGCTTGACATGTACAATTCTGACGATGTTGTTATTTTTTATGTGCATGAACGTTTTACAAAAATTGTATTGCATGCATCCCACTGAAACCATCACGTGCCTGCATTGCTGGGCTTGAAGAAGAAGGGGGCCATGGCTGCAATTGCATCAGCCTTAATTTCTGCTGCATGACTAGCCTGAATAGGGAAATGAACATTGGGAGAAGGACAATGAAAACTAAGTATCTCTTCTTTTTTGAAAATGGCAGGCACATAATAGCGGCTTGTGAGTCAAACCTGTGACCAGTGCAATGAGGACGTTAGCCTCTGTTCAAGAAGTGCCTGCTCCACCATCTGAGCTCAGCCAGCATCCAAAACTAAGTATCTCTAAAGCTCATTAACTAACAAATTATCAATCTCTGTTGAGCCATAATAATGCTATGCCTTAAAACCCTATGAAGTCATAGATTTTCATGCTGAATGTTCAATTGACTGTATACCACATGAAAGCAGCAACTCACCAGTTCTTGGGAATCTTTAAGACTCAAGCAGCCAACATTCACAATCACATGTTCCATTCTGTAGTGACCAAAACATAAATACATTTGACAAGTTGTCATCTATTCCCTCTGCATTGGAGAAATAAATGATAAATCATTTGAAAAATTCAGGCAAAAAGACAGTGTCATGACTCACTTTCCCTTTGCTTTACTACACCACTCCTCTGCCAGTTTCTTCCTCTCTGCAACACTGAGGGCCATGCTCTCTCCGGTGGTGCCATTGACTGAATGCAAGGGAAGTATGTTCTTATTTACAGAGTAATTTAATAATTAAATAATTTAAGAAATAATTAAAGCATATCTGAAGGCAAGAAAAGAAAACAAAAAAGAATGCATTACAGGGCAGTCTAACATACAACATTAAAAAGAAACAATGGAAACAAAGCAAAGTGAAAGCCATAACCAAGCATGGTGTTAAGACATATGTGTATATCTGATACCTTCAGACCCTCAGCCAAGCAAAGGAAAACAAGGTTTTTAAAGAAATATAAAACCTGGGGCCTATTTAAAGACTACAATTTTGGGTAATAAGGGGTAACGCAAACAATTATCATGAGATGAGAAAAGACATAAAACACACAAAGAGGAAGAACTAGCATGAACATCCTCTTGTTGTGCAAGTACACACACACACACACACACACACACACACACACACACACACACACACACACACACACACACACACACACACACACACACACACACACACACACACACACACACACACACACACACACACACACACACACACACACACACACACACACACACACACACACACACACACACACACACACACACACACACACACACACACACACACACACACACACACACACACTGTCAATAGAGACAAGAATGTATACGTAGCTCAGCACAAACTTGAATGATTCATTGGTTGGGAGAGAAGTGTAAATGGCGCAGTCATCACTTTTGACACAAAGAAAACACTGATTAGCCTTGATGAATGCAAAGAAAAGGGCAGCCTTCATATCACTTTGCCTTATCTAAGCTGAGTTTCTTTTTGAAGTTGTTAATATAAAAAGTGAAACAAAAAAGGATTTAGAAAGAAGAATGTATTTCTTATAAGCAGAAAGTTTAGTTATGAGTGAGAGGTAATTTGAGTTGCATTATGGAGAAATGTTTATTCGAGTGGATCCCGGTTTAGTTTCTAACTAGTAAAAGACAACATACTTAAAGCAACAATGTGCAACTATTTCTACCTTTAAAAATATCCCATAAAATCGTTTTTAAGCTCTAAGACTGAATCGGGAAAATGTCTTTCAACTTAACATTGTATTGGATTCATGTGTATTTTTTTTTTAAGAGAACCAAAGGAAGAAATGATTTGATTGATAAGTCAATTGAAAGACAAAGAGGCCAAACCTTTGGTCCAAGGTTTTAAAAATGAATTGAACTTTTATTTAAATTTGAATTTGTTGAATTTTTGTTGGTTGGACTGAAGTAGACTTTTAAAGATGCCACTTTAGGCTCTGGTACCATGTTACAGACAATTTCAGCTATTTAAAAAATAAAAAAATAAAAACTAATTACAGATGTAAAAATGTATAACCTGTTGCAGGACTTGATGAAGTGTCCTTATTTTGTATCTTATCAAGATCAATACACTTTAGACACAACTCAAATAAAAACTGCTGATGTAGGCTATGGATTTAGGACAAAGTGATAAATGTTTACAATGCATTTATTTAAAAGAAATAATTTAAAAAAATGGCTGTTGTGACTGTTGTGCTGTTGTTTTAAATGGAAGGTTTTGCACTGTGCATGCTTTTTAGGTAATAAATGATACACTGGGTTTGGTTTTGGGGGTTGATAGGGAAACAATACTATTGGGATTATCATTTTAAAAAATCTCAAATGAAAGCTGGTATTTTTATGAAGTTCTTTAAATAAATGGACAATTCCATTAGTTTTCATTTTCTTGGAAATGACACTCAAGCGCAATACAAAATCAATGAATGTGTGAATTGCACACTATGCAGCTCTTCAGAGATTAATTATAACAGAAAAAAAAAAGGTCACATAAGCTTACCAAATATGTTACGTACACCTTGCTTCTGTGTCAAGTAGTCAATATAAGGTCCAATTTCTGATAGGATGATTTCACTGTTTTGGGAAATGTTTAAAAAATACAGGCAATGTTTTGCACACAAAAAAAAAAAAATGAATGATGTCATAGTTGATGTATACTACAGAGATTGGAAAGAAGGCCCATTATGGCCACATTTTATAATTTACACTTTTAAACTTTGTACAGAGGAACCGAATGTTTCATCTTACACAGTAGACACATTAATGCTGTCATGATAGAAAAACAGGCAGAACAAGGAAGTGGCTTAAAAAATGCTTACCCCTGTGTAGTTAGTGGAGTAAATGTGGCTGCAACAAGTCCTGTAGGCTTTTTAGCAGCAGACATGACTGCCTTGAAATCTAAAAAAAAAAATTCGGGCATGTCATATGAAATAAATAAAAGAGAGAAAAGGAAGGTGAGAGACAGTAAATAACATACAAGTTAGGCTACAAATACATGGCACGCGTAAGACAATGTTTTCGTAAAAAGTTTAAATCTGAAATGTTGCATGATGCACCGACACGAAAGACTATTTAATAAAAATAATCAAGACATTTATCGATCCATGTCGGCCTATATAAGAGGGAATAAAACACATCCTTGAACATTTTAGTAGTAATTATTAAATTTCAAGCCTACCTGTTACGGACCGGTGCTGTTAATAGTACTCTCTGCAGACTACAATTATCTCTAAAGGCAAACTTGTCGTCTCAGATACCGGTTTGGGGTTTAATAATGTAGCTGTCACGTGAAATCTCGGCGTCAAGTGATGCCGCAAAGTTATCTGGGACATGTAGTTAACAAATAAAGAAATAAGAATATAATAAAAAAAAAAAGCAAGCTTAAAATTAACGTTGTGCATGAATTAAAAAAAAACAGATACATGCTCATGTATCGACTGTATGTAATGTGGTTCTGAGAACATATACAGAGGTTAAGATTTGCTTTTATTTACTAAATATTAACGGTGCGTTCACAACGTGTCGTAAACAGCTTTTATACAAGAACAGCAATAATAATTGCAGGAGCCCCTGTTAGCAGCAAGGATACATTTGGAGCTTATTTAAATTTTAAAATCAACACAAATATTATATTATCAGAAATAACATGCAGCTACTTCTTAAGAATTAACTAAAGAAGCGTTTAGCGAACTTTTTCCGAGCCTACTGGAAGACATCATAAATGACATCATAAGATAGTTGGTATTTTTTCCCTCGTAGTAGACTTATAGGTGATTGCTTCGGCTGCATTGCAACCTATATACAGCTATTAAGCGACTTCTTATGAGTAGGTTCGTGTTATATTTTCTTACCAGACCAATATAGGTCTGCAAATCCTTAAAAACAGAAAATATTTTTTCAGCCTGCCTACGAGGGAACAGATTGCAACCTGAGAGGTAAACTCAGGGCAAAAATAACACACACAATGACACAGGAAGCGGATGTGTTGACGTTTTCGTCGCAACGGTATCCGTTGGGAAGGCAGGCTAGCTCGGCGAAAGTGTATTGCTTACGGTGAGATTATCCAATTTATGCCGCAAAGGACAAAAAATATAGTCTGTTTAGGCCCGCTGCCCTTAAATGGAGGCGTTTTCTGTTAATTTGCCATGTGTTTTGGTTTGTCCGTCGTCGTCAGCCGGTCTATTTAGCACAGGAGGCTAAGTGGCTAATTAAAGCCTGTAAAGTGGAAGAGGCTTCTTCTTGGTCGAGCTGAGAAATAGAGCTGTCATGATGAGGAAATAATTAACTTAATGAATGGTTACAGTAAGCAGGGTGATAACAGGAGCTGGTGTGAACTTGAACTTTTCTCTTGAATGTGCTTTGGCGTTAGATTGTGTGGAGTAAATCATTTGAGGAGTGGGATTAGTATCATAAATAATAAGACAACAGGGACTCTTCAATCTGCGTCGCTTTGTTTGCGTTACAGAAACTCTCAAATATGACGACGTGGCTGGAAAACTTCAACGCTGAAAGTCGTAGTTTGTCGATTCATTTATCTCTAACATTATTGTGTTGTTGTACATGTTTAGATATCATTGCTGCAGAGTAACATGTAGTGTCCGTCACACGTGGGGTTAGGTCCGGGTTACAGCTTGGAAAAGTAAACAGGTTACCAAACAGCTTTTTCTGGGACAGGGTTTGGATCAACTTCGAGGTGCAGATGCTGCCTGCTACATCTCTGTAAGTTACACATTGACATATCGTTACTTGAATTAGCAACATTCCTGCAAACGTCGTTTTCGTTTCGACGACTTGACCTTTTTAAAGCTTCTTTTTTTTTGCTCTTTGACTCATAGTTCTGTTTGCTGATACGAATAGTTGGAGATTAAGTTGCATCGACTTTAACTCAGCAATAATGTGTCTATGATGCTCTCCAGTATCAGTTGTTGATGAGGTGGTACATCTGAAAGAAAAGCTATAAGGAGCTTCAAACATGATCTCTGATATAAAGCCTTAATGGAAGTGTGTAAGATCGGATTCTTGGGTGGTTTTGTAAGTTTGAGCTGAGAGCCAAACTGTAGTTGTAGATTTTTGAGATCCTTGCACAGCTGCCGCTATGACAGCTGTACTGTTCATATTGGTGCTGCTTGGAGCATTGTGCAGCCCTGGACATACCATGTCACAGGAGGAAAAAAGCAAGTTGAGGTGAGTAAAGAAAAACACATCTCCAGAGCTTTGAGCGAGACAAACACTTTCCCTCCAGAGAATATGTTCTGAAAGTGTGCATCTATGTTTTCCCTCATCAAAGGAACCAAGTGGTTGAGATGTTTGACCATGCGTATCAGAATTATATGGTAAGTTGTTTATTTTAATACTGCTGTATATTAAAAAAAAACCCTCTTTTTAGTTTGGGCTATTATTTTTTTTAACAGAACCGCTGTGTACTTGACTTGCTTGTGCACACACCTATCGGCTTGATTCTGCTTGCTTTTATGCTCATATTTTAAGTTTATGTGTGTTTTTGCTCCTGTGAAGTACATCTAGTAACTTTCTGTATGAAATGTCCTTCTTCTATTTTCACCGAGTGCTTCACAGGAATGTAAAAAGGTTTTTGCTGCAGCCTGCCCTTGATATACTTATTTGATTCTGGACAATTTAGCAGCTTATTCCTTGTCTTGGGAGAACATTTTGAAATGGTCTGGTTATAGTTGAGTAGGTAAGGTGTAAAAACACTTCTGATTTGCTTTTTTATTATTCTTTTAAAATCACTCGTCAAATGCCTTTAGCAATATGTTTTCATGTTGGATTCCCTGAAATATCAAGCAGAATTTTAAAGATCCAAGGTCTCATCACACTCCTAAGAAGAAAAACAGCATTCAGTGTCAAAACATGTTGTTGAAGTTTGTTTGTATCTTTCAGGACCATGCGTACCCAGCAGACGAGCTGATGCCACTAACATGCAGAGGAAGAGTACGTGGGCTTGAACCTAGTCGAGGTGACGTAGACGATGCTCTGGGAATGTGAGTTGCTCCTTGCGATGTAATGCAATAATGGACCATTGATGACGTGGGTTCAGATATGTTAACGCATTGCTTTGAGAACGTGGCAGGGATGTATGATGTACAATGAGGAATACTTGTAATTCTGTTGAACAAGATGAACTTGATTATCGTGTGGGCAGTCCACACCGTTGGTAAACAGCTTCTGTCTCCCTCTGATAGGTTCTCTCTAACCCTCATAGACACTCTGGATACTCTTGTGGTGAGGATTTTTGTTTGTTGGTTTTGGGGTTTAGTTTCCTTTAAACACATTTGTGAGGTTATTCATATCAGGCTGATTTTTTTTATTTAACATGACATCAGATTGTGAGAAATCTCGGTGGAGAAAGTTTGATGTTTTATAAGCATGGTACAAGGAAAGGTCCCATTACATTCTTGTCTGGATTCTGAACACATTTTTTAGGAACACATAAATTACAAATATCAAAGGCTTTTACAAAATCATTCTAAAGTCAAACTTATGCAACATATTCTGGGTTTTCTTTGGCATTGTGCTTTTCACTGTTTGTAAATTTTGTCTGTCTGCTTGTTTGTTGGTTCATTTCTCTTTTTTACCTGTTCAAATTCAAATTTTAAAATAAAATGAAATCAAACATAAAATGTTCTTTATTTACTCCTGGTTTTAATGCTCATGTTAATTCCAACCGCAGCTTTTGAACAAGACGACAGAGTTTGAGGCTGCTGTGAGGAGGGTGCTGAAGGACGTTAGACTGGACAACGACATTGTTGTGTCGGTCTTCGAAACCAACATTCGAGTCCTTGGGTGAGATTGGACTGCACTATCAATATACTTAAAAATAAACTGTAAATCAGCATTGCCTTGTTTTACGCTGTATGTTCTTTCTGGCAGGCAGAAAACCAAACAGCTGTCTAAAAGACTTTGATGATTGATACTCTGAATTCTGTAGTTCTCAATTCATAATTTTTGTCGTTTGGTTTGTACGGTGTGTGTTCAGAGGCCTTCTGGGAGGGCACTCCATGGCTGTGATGCTGAAGGAGGGAGGACAGAACATGCAGTGGTACCAGGATGAGCTCCTGCACATGGCCAAAGATCTGGGTCTCCGACTTCTGCCAGCCTTCAATACCAGCAGTGGCTTACCTTACCCCAGGGTGAGACACATGTACACAGGCAAAAATACACTATCACCAGTCCCTTGATATCTCAATAGCTATCTGTCCCTTCAAAACAAACCTTCACATGTTATAATTTTGATTGGGAATAATGATGGGGAATAGTAAACCTGTTTCAAATAAATGCTTGATGTGTCTCGTCATGGAAAGTCAAATATTTTTCTGTTTTTTATAAATTTGTTTTTTAGAAATAGAATAAAAATACTCCTCCTGCTCTATCACAAAGATGTGTTATTTTAGTTAAGATTATTGTTGTCTCTGTATCATCATTGTAAAACAATATCTTCTACGTTACCTGAATGTAGGGAAACATCAAGTTTTTAAATAAAGTGTCTACTTGTCATAATACATTTAATCTGTATGTCATAGAAGCAAATCCCCTTGAATAAAATCTTGCTAAAACAAAAGTTATAATAAATATAACGCTAAGAGATACAGTAGTAACATGACATATTATCTGCTCTGATCATGACCACATTCTTTAATTTCCTGCTTCACTGATCACAGTTGTCACATCTTTTGAACGCAGACATTTTCATGTCTGACTAGGTTTCACGCATCATCTCTTGCAATCTAAATGTGTCTCAAACCAGCAGATTGTGTCATTTCATTATTTCTTTTTGCTTGACAGGTGAACTTGAAATATGGTGTCAGGGGTCCTGAAACAAGAACAGGCACAGAAACAGACACCTGCACTGCCTGTGCAGGAACCATCATCCTGGAATTTGCCGCCTTAAGTCGCTTCACCGGTGACCCTGTGTTTGAGGTATCCCATTTTCATCAGATAATAAGATATTTACTTACTTACAAACTGTAGTTCATTACTATTTAGTGGAGCTCTTTTTTTAAACAGATGTCCAAAAAGCTAACATTTGGCTTGAATTATTTGTGATTTTCAACTTATCATATTATAGGTAATAAAAATAGAGAAGCAAAACATTTAAGTTAACCAGCAAAAACAAATATAGCAACAGAATACATTTTTTTGTTAATAAAAGATTGTAACCTTAAAATCTAATCTGAATTCTAAGCTGTTGCTGTATCAAGAGAACAAACTCTAAAATACCATTTCTGTATTTGTATTATTGCACCAAACTGGCTTTACACTTTGTGCTAGCATATCAGTGATCCATTGA